ACTTATGTTTTTAGTGCCATATCTAAAAAATTTGTTTAACCCAAGGTCAAGCAAATTATCTCCTATGTTTTCTTTTTACAGTTTTATAGTTTTAACCCTTATATTTGTGACTATAATTCATTTTCAGTTAATTTTTTTATAGAATGTAAAGTAAGGGTCCAACATCATTCTTTAAAAATATGTTTTTTGAAAGAAATAAAAGTTTTGTATTCATTTCTTTTTACAAATTATTTTCCATTATCATATTCTTTAGTTGTATAAACATGTAGATGTGTTCAGAAAGTTTAGTTTTCTGTGAGCTAGGCTGACGACACAGCACTCTCGCCCGGGCAACACAGAGAGACTCTGTGACAAAAAAAAAAAAAAAAAACTCAAAAAGAAAGAAATAAGGACTTGTGCAAATGCAAATTCAGAGGAAAGAAAGGTGACTTTTGGCTGTGTGCACCATGTCAGGCCTCACAGAGGAAGCAGAGGCTGAGCTGGGGACTAGAGGACAAGGAGGGGCTGAAAATGTGGAGGTGGGAAGAAAAGCTCACTCCAGGCAGAGTCAATAGCGTGGGGAGTGAGCCGTGGAGGAGGGGAGAACCGGTCACGTCTCAGACACCAGGTGGCCCAGTTGGCTGGAACCGTGGCGTGTGGAAGGGGTAGGGGCAGTTGGGCTGTGTGGGAAGGTTATGGTCACACTGTGAAGACTTGACGACCAGGCTAAGCTTCCTTTGGCTGACATAAGCACTTAAGGGAGTGTTAGAAACTGGACTTTATATCTTTAAAAAGTTCCTAATCCAATGAAAAACCAAGTTGCCCAACACTCTCCCGATACATGTTCCTGAACACATGATTCATTTGTGTGTTGAGAACAAAGCAGGTGCCCGTTGACCACAGACCAGGTGGAGCTACTCAAGTGGAACTTCCTGCAGCTCCTGGAATTTGGGGCAGGAGCTGAGTCCAGTGGTGCCACCCTCTAGGGGACACTCACTGCGGGCCAGGAGCCACTGCCAAGCCCTTCACATGCATCATTTTGTCGAATCCTCCTGGAAAGCCTATGAGGTAGGCGCTGTCGTTATCCTCAGTTTGCAGATAAGCAAAGAGAGCCCCCAATGGTTAG